TGTGACGAAGACTAAGTAACTCCTATGTTAACTTAATAGTCACTCAAACTTAGTATGGAGCCTAAAAGGTATGAGTCGTCCTCCTGTTGTTAACAAACAGGGGCTCTCAACCACTACTCTTGCTAGGTTAACAAATTATGAGTTAAAAGCCAACATTGGCATAAAAAGAAACAACCGGTACCCGCCGCTTGCTATCTTTACTAAATTCCTTGGCGACTAGGTAATACTCTACTTACTTGGTCAGACCACTTTCCTACTTGGTTAAAATTACAAAAAAACAGGCACGCCTGCCTAAAAAGGATCCAGACAAAATAGTTCGAATACCGATTGAATAAATGGCCGACTGATCGTCTATCCTGGAAACAGACAACCAGTCGTCCAGGGGCATAGGCGGCGTACTAACTATCCGTACCTGTCTGCAACGTTCGGCCATGTACAACAGTCGGTCTAGTAAACAATTGGATATTAGATATGGAATACTTGGACAAAGTAGAAGCAAAACAAAAATTCATTAAAAATAAGCCGGTCATTAAAGACCAGCAAAATATTCAAAGCCCGGCCCCCATGCCGGGTAAATACAAAGCAAACGGCACGCAGGCCGTGGAAAGAATACATTAAGCTTAAGAAGGGGCAGTTCAGTATTAGCAGCTGCCGCCTGGTCAGCACTCTTCTTGCTGGACTCGGCTTCAGCTGCATCCTTTTTTGATGCCTCACCCCCAATTGGCACAAGCGCCACAACCGGCTCCTCCTCCTCCTCCAACGCATCTCCCAACGCCTCTTCTTCAGCAGCCGCCAGGATCTCCTGATAATATGTTTCCGAACACTGGCGGTACGTTCTTTCCCAAGAGGCAAAGTCGGCATTGGGGAACAAGCGGCCCCAGGTCATGCGCTGGATTTGAGCGGAGTCTTCCATCATCTCCCGGACGAGCTCTTTCTTCTCTTGCTCGGCCTTTTCCGAGAGCTCTTGGGTAAGACTCTTCTCTTGGCTCACCAGGCGTTCTTTTACGCTGGCCAAGGATTTCTCCATGGCTTCGTAAGAGTACATTTTTTGGCGAAGAGGTTTCAGCTCGGCCTTAAGATTTGTGATGGTCGCCTCCAGCTCGTCATTCTTCTTCTGGGCCGCCTCTAGCTGAGCCCGAACAGCGGCGGTAGCCTGCGCCTGATAATAAATAATATCAATGGTCAGTACTTCATTTTGGGCAATTTGAAACATTGCCTTGTCACAATCAGAGGCGGCCATAGCTTTTGCAGCCTTTACCTCTTTGTTCTTCCGATCAAGCGGCTTGCGAAGGCCGTTAACTCGGAGCAGGGCCTAAGTACAAAAAAAAACAACAGGCGTCAGTTTCCAAACAAAAAAGATAACAGGCGTCCTGGAATTCAAATACTCAAAAGAGTATACCTCAGCAAGGACCCCTGCAATCCCATCAAGGTCAAGGGTGCCGACACCCCTGACCGCCTCCCTTTTAGATGGAGGAACTACTTTGATCATGGACTTGGCTACCTCTACCAAGTCAAGCCCCTGAGGGCCGGCTGCATCAAGCGTAAAAAAGCAAGTTAGACCTAGTCAAGAAGGAAGCAAGTGTAAAAGTTTTTACAAGTAATTGTCCATACTTCTAGGCGGCCCCGCCGGGGTTTTAGAAGAAGTGGCCGGCTGCTTCTCAGCCGCCACTGTTTTCCTGGAAGACCCAGGAGAGCTTGCAACAGTCGTCCTCCGGGCCTTGGGGTCCGGCTGTTGCGAGGAAGAAGCTCTTGGAGTGCCCGACTAAAAAAAAAAAAAAAAAAAAAAAGTTAGTATATGCATAAGACAACTCCTAAAAGAGGAAGAGTTTCGAAGCCTACCAAGGGTGCCCCCTTGTTAGGGGAGTCGGTACAAGACTGTTGCATGAGAGAGGCCCGCAACATGGCCGCCGCAGTCTTGGATGCTGTTATTTTACTCATGGCGTCAGCTGCAAAAAATAAACAGCAAAGTTAGTAAAGATCCCAAGCAAACAAGGCGTGAAAAAACAGAGTATTTGTCAGGCCGGCTACCTCTAGAGCACCGACTGCTGAGGCCACAGGCGGCCAAAAAGTACTCGTCATAGAGCCACTTGAAGCTCGGGACGCAGTTTAGGGGTACTTGCTCTCGTACCCCTGAAGTAGAGTTCACCCTAGTCTCTACTTTGAAGAGTCCTTTGTCTAGGATCTCTTTTTTAGCCTTTGGGGGAACAGGCGGCATGCTGCGGCCGCCTGCGAGAAGAGGCGGATCCCTATTCCACTTGTTAAAGCGTTTGTTCAGCTCCGTGTCTGAACCCTCGATAATAAGGAAGGTGTTCCGCCAATCCTTCCATTTGTTCGCCTTACCTCTCGTCATGAGGTAGCCCCTATGGCTTGTTAATTGATACCAGCCGGTACCTCCCGACTTAGGGGTCCGGCTGAGATAGTTCATGTGGGCGAAAGCCTCAAAGCTTGGCTCCACCCCGTACATTTCGCACCCGGCCACATAGCCGAGTACGTTTACCCAAGAGTTGGGGGCTAACTGCCATAACCCCAAATCATACCCATCTAAAATCCGCTGAACAGCCGGATGTAATGGGAAGCGCAGTCCAGCTTTGATGGCCGCCACATAGCAGCCAAAGCAGCCGTCATCATAGCTGGTACCAGCCGGCCAGACGACAGTGTCTTCTGGATCCGGCACGAACAGTAAAAATTCGGGGCCCATTCTGTGGTTAGCTATAAAGCTCTCCACTTTGTCTTGCATGGCTGCGATCCGGCCCCGGGGTACCGTGCAGTAGTAGGGGGTGTTTTCCTCTCTGTAAGAGGCGGACGGCTCCGCCCAATTGTCCCCCTTCTCAACTGCATGAGAAAGCCTCGCCTCTTGTAGGCGGCTGTTTCTTTCTTCTGAGCCTGGAGAAGCGTGGCCAGAAGAGCTGGACTCGGACTCGTCCTCTGACGAGTCCGAAGAGGACGACTCCTCCCCTCTCCCAGAGGGGCCCGCCTCCTCTCCCTTAGAAGGAGCAGGAGGAAAATTAGACATATCAACGGTGAAATGGGAAGGGACCACCTTGACCCCTCCCTCAGAACTGTCGGCTTGGCAGCCGCCTCGTTTCACTTCTACATCTGGCGCCTGGTCAGATGTTTCACTAATGAGCACCCTTTGAGAGGAGCCGTCCGAGTTTGAGATCATAGCAGTCTTTTTTGTTCTGGCCATCACGTTCTGCATAGACACAGATACAGTCGGACTTTGTATAAAGGGAAAAGATGGGTCCAGAAAAGGGCAGGCGGCACTCCTAGTCCTAGATTCAGCCGTCCCCGGTGACCGGCTGATCACTAACTTAGGTCGTGTCGTGTGCTTCCGTGGTGCCATTTTAAAAAAATAAAAAGAAAATTAAGAGTAAGAGAACTGAGTTACCTGAACGAGTGACGGTTGATGAAGTTCTGAAAATCCTGTGCAGTCGGCTTGTCAGAACAGGCGGTAGGCAGAAAAGGTCCGAAATGTCAGAGCAAGTTCAGGGGTCCGAATGTTCTCGCAAAGTTCTCAAATGTGAAAATGACCGAAGTCAGCACTTCCTTATATAGGCAAAGTGAGAAGGCGAAGGGTCGCTTCCAAATTCAAAATTTGGGCGGGAAAATCTCTCGGCCATTTATAAGGTGACACCTGTAGCAGGCCGTCGCCTGTCACCGTGCGACACCTGTCACAGGTGACACGTGACCAGTCACGTGCCGCCTGTGAGGGGCAAATGATTAGGGGATTTTTATCCACCAATCACCGTCTGACAAGTGGACCAACCAGGTTCCGCCACGTGTCCTTCACGTAGGCCAATAGGAGCCTGCCACGTGTCAATCACAGATACGTCCTCTACGGACCAATTGAGACACGCCACGTGTCCACCCATGCCAAATGGGAAAACCGGCCAACAAGGCCCAATCCTGTTTAGAGGCCCGGTCAGCCCTAGGTTTACCCTAAACCTAGAGAGTGGCACGCTTCTCAAGACTATAAATACTTAATAATCCTCATTAAGTTGGGGAGAACAGAACAGAACAAAAACATTACGGAACCCACTAATAACCGGCTTATCTCGCTAACAAAGCAGATTACCAACATTAAACACTCTCACCTAGAGAGACCTTATTACTTTAATTTCCGCATTAATTACTCCTTAATCAGGTACTAACTTGACCGTTGGAGGCGGAGCTCTCAGGAGTCTCCGTTATTTTGCAGGTACAGGCGTCCGGTTCCAGTCTCGGAATTGTAACTCTCCCGCAGGACATCAGAAGACCCCGAAACAACTTTTATCCTTGAAATTTAGTGTCCTTTGTGACTTCTTTCTAAAACAAAAAAATATAGCCCTAAACTAAAGAGAGAATTTTAATCTGATTTGTAGATAGAACCCAAAAATTGGGTAGAAAAACTATCTAATAAAGAGAATGAATATTTATTATGAACTTGAAATGAAAGAGTAGAAAAACAAAGATTTGGGGCTTACCATCAACCAAAAAGTTGGTGGTAGCCCTAAAACATCAATTTTTTAGGGTTTTTGAGAGGAAGAGAGAAATGAGAGAACAAGGAGGCATAATCCAACCTATTTCATTTATGAAAGTTAAGTCTTGTGTAAAACGGGTGTACGTTGATTTTATTGTAAGATGGTAAATTTGAGGGTAACTTTAACTATTTTTGTGGTAACTTTAACCACTTAAAGAATAACTTTTAATTTGTCGTTGGTTTGAATTTTATTTTAATGTGTAATTTCTTATATATCCTGATTACATACTATAAAGGTTAATATGATTAATCTAATACGTTATAAGTATTTTTGTAAGATAAAATTTATTATTAAAAAAATAATAACTTTTGTTGTATAAAAGGTAACTTTAAATACTTTTATGATAACTATAAATTGTCTTACAATAAATTAACGCACATCCTCGTTTTTGGAGAATTTGTGTTATGAATTGAATGACATCTCATTTGATAATACTATGTTAAAGAATTTATTCCCTTTTTCTTTATTTAGTACATCACTTTTCTAAATCGGTTATTTTTTTAAGTGAATGTAGTCTCATTTATCCCTCGCGGTTGCGGCTAAGCAATGTATACTTGTATAGCAATAAATAATAATGGGTTATTTTGTAGGACGAAAAAAAAAAAAAAAAAAAAAAAAAAAAACAACGTGAAAAAAAGAGAAGCAACCCATCTCTCCTTTCTCCTTCCCATCTCCACCACCACCAATCCTCCATTATTATATATAGAGTACACACACTCTCTCTCCTTCTCTCTCAATCTCATTCTCTCTCTTCCTTCTAGTTTTCTGTGATCGGTAGTTCAACACATTCACACTTTCTTGGAGTCTTCTTCTTCTTTTTTTATTACCATAAATATTTGACTCCTCTTTTTCTTTTCTCTATTAAATTCAATATCTTTCTAATTCTTGGTCTACCCTTTTCCATCATTATCTGTTATTTTCATTCCAATTATTGATTACCCATCTGGGAATTTCCCTCATTGTTCATCTTAATTTATAATCATGGGTGATGCTAGTGGTAATGGTATGTATCAATTTTTAGCCCTTAATCTTGTTTTTGCTTAATTTAATTACTGCTGATTGATCAAGTTTTTGATGAATTGTAGTGGGTGTTTAATTATTTGCTTCTTTGATGATGCTTTTATGTTTGAATTTTTCGGTGATTTTGTTTTCAGTGTTTGATTGATTGTTTTTGGATTTTGCATTAATTTATTCTCAACTTACATCACATGGCGTAAGTTGATCTATGCGAGGTTCTGGTCCGGTAATGTAATTCTTGATAGGAATAATCAATAAAAAATTATTTATTTACATACCCTCTTTGAAAAAAAAAAACAAAAATTTACCCTTTTTGAATTATGTGCAATTGAAACAAAATTGAGATGATCATTTAGATTTTATCATATGATTGGCAAAATTTGGCCTGAAATCGGTCTAAGATCAGTAGTTTTTTGCTTCTGAAGAGTTAGTTCTTGGTATGAATCTATGAGCTATGATTATGTTGTGATTGCTTTTTAGTTTAAAATTTTGTATTATTAGAATCTTAATTTCTGTTATTATTACTAATATTGGGTGTAATTGCTTAGGGTTTGATGATTTTTGAAGAGGCTATGAATTGCCTTGATTATTTGGAATCTACCATTGGTTGAACTATTTGCCTTGACTTTAGCACTTCTGTATCAACATCACAAATCCACTTCTTTAAAAATAACATGTGTATTGTATACAATAAGTTTAGTAGTCCCTTTGCGAAAATGACTTTTATGTGATTTGGGATGACTAAATTATTTTATACAATACACTCGTTGTATACAAGTTTTTGCTTTGAGCACAACTTTTTATGGATATGTTATACTATGCACTGTGTTCATAGCTTTCCTTTTGATGATTATCAATTATTGTATTTGACTGACTTCGTTGTTTGCATTTACCTTCTTTCATCAGTGGTTGAAGCCATAGATGGAACCATCTCTCTGGCTTCTGCATTTGCTGGTCATCAAGAAGGTAATCTCACAATTTTAAATCTGTTGTATGATGAGTGAGCTAGCTAAGTTATTATCAGTTTTCTGCTACAGTAATTTGCTTTTTGTTTGAAGCACCGCCTATATGATGTCTTACCGGTGATCATAATGTTTCCGTCACCTATTTGTACTATCTAAACAGCTGTACAGGATAGAGACCACAAATTCTTGACAAAAGCAGTCGAGGAAGCTTATAAGGGGGTTGATTGTGGACATGGGGGTCCGTTTGGTGCTGTTGTTGTTTGTAATGACGAAGTAGTTGTCAGCTGTCACAACATGGTGTTGGAGTACACAGACCCAACTGCACACGCAGAGGTCACAGCTGTAAGAGAGGTTAGATGAATTAGCTTTGTGGCTGTTTGTTGCTATTTATGGATGCATTTCTTTGCTATCCTACATTCCTATGTACATTATTGCTTAGAACATTGACCAATCAACCCAGTGTTATACGTTTTGTAAAGATTTGGAAAACTTAATTGTTTAGCTTTGTAATATTGAATTGTAATACTTAACGTGTTGCTTTCTTGGATTCGTTAACATACCTTGTATTTCAATGTGTCCACTTCTTCCAGAGGAGTTGAAATGAGAGGAAATTATTTAGGTTGCTATGAACAAAGTTTATCAATAATGTCTTGAATGTCGGGTTTGAGCATTGGCAAGCTAAGCAATTCAATATATTAAAATTAAATTGCTCAAGTCAACTGAATTCCGCTACGTGTTTGCCCTCACAAATTGTTATATCTGAATCACAGGAAGGAGTATTTGGATGCTCCAATAAACACAATATGCCTCTTGCCGTCTTGCTATTTACTACTGCAAATTCACAGCATTACCTAATGTTAATAGTTTTTAAAACGTTGTCATCTTTTTAACAGCCGTAATTTTTTTTTTTTTTTTTTGCTGATCTACCTTTTTAGTTTGGCTGTAGTATACAGTTTTAGTGACGAGAGAAATTAAGGGTAGGAGGGATATGATATGTTTTGTTTAGTCATTTTCTGCGAACATTATTTTTTAAAGGTAAGAGATCTGTTCATACAGAGGGCTATACAAGTCAGTTTCTTCGTTCTGTTTCTAGCTTGCTTCACGCAGAGTAACGATGCAGTAATCTGCTAGTTATATTTTTTGAGCATAATGGTCGACCTGCCTTTTAAATATAAACTAGAACAAGCTTGAAATTACTCCCTTTTTTACCCCTAGTATAACAGGATTTCCTGTCTTTGAGGATCATGGGTGCTTTCTTAAGTTTATATCTGCACTATTAAAGTAGTGTCCCATTATATAATCACCCTGTTCTGTCTCAGTAAACTATACATATTTCAATCAAATACTTAAATTCATTCTAATGAGGTCGGTTATTTCAGGCATGTAAAAAGCTCAATCGACTCGAGCTGGCAGATTGTGAAATATATGCATCTTGTGAACCATGTCCAATGTGCTTTGGTGCTATCCATCTTTCAAGAATTAAGGTTTGTTTTTCATTTCCTGCACACCTCTTTTGCTTTGATGATTATCCCCAGATTTTTGCTGATCTATATAATTTTTGTTAAAACAGAGGTTAGTATATGGGGCTAAAGCTGAAGCTGCCATAGCAATCGGTTTTGATGATTTCATTGCTGATGCATTAAGAGGCACCGGAGTCTATCAAAAGGCTAACCTTGAAATCAAACAAGCTGACGGGAACCAAGCAGTCCTCGCTGAGCAAGTATTTGAGAAGACCAAGGCCAAATTCTCCATGTATTGAAATTTCCCATTTCCAGTTCTTAAGAATAAATCCATTTTTCATAGAACTTCTGATTTTCTGTACAAATTAATCCAGGAAATCTTTCCTACCGATTTAAAACACCATTTCCTTTCTCGAAAATCATCAGATTTTCATGGTGTATAGCTGCACTCTACACAATTGATCAATGCATACCATGCTTATATTCAGTCGAACTTGTCTACTTCAGATACCTTTGACCCTTTCTATGGTTTTCGTTGCCTAGCTTTCGGCATTCAAGTAGCACATGATATGTATGTCCTTAACTAATCAGGTACACAAGATGTTGAATATCACGTTGCACATTGCTATCATTTCAACATTTGGCGGGGTAGTGAACTAGTACCAAGTTTATTTGGAATCAAACATATAGAGATCCTATATTCCTATTGCTAAAGGACGCAAACAGGTTGTTTGTATTGAACAAATGATCTAAAGCCAAATTAAACAGGTTACATTTTGGTCTAACTTACTCAATTATTTGAGCAATTGATAGGATAACATCAATTTTGTGCTTAGTCGGATTGAGTTGGGTCAATTTCAGATGATTGCCTTCTTCAATCTTTAGCGTCTAAGGTAGTTTGAGTAGGGTGAATTCCGGTTGGCTATCTTCTCCAATCGTTAGCGTCTAAGTAGATACTTACTTGGCGAACCCACTTTGGATAGGGATTCATGAGTTACATGTGGAATGATTTCTTTCCTAGACAACCATGGAAGCAAAATAGTAAATGATAAAAGTTATTGAGGTGATATACAAACATCTTTGTTTTGGTATGATTGAAGAGAGTCAAGAGACACTAAAGATGACGTGCATTTTATGATGCAAAATTACAAAATGATGGTTGTTAGTTGGTTAGTTAAATACAGTGCTGACATGTGTTTTTAGTGATAAGTGAGAATTAGGGGTGTCAATTTGGGTAAACAATTCGAGTTTGGGTTAGGTTTATCAGTTTCGGGTTATAACAGGTCGGTTTATAACAGGTTGAAATGATTAGCGGATCAGTTTGGGTCGGTTTTGAAAATCATCGGGTCAACTCGGTTTGGTTTTTTTTATTGTGGTTTCTATTCGGGTCGGGTTGTAGTTGGTTCGAGTCATAATCAGTTTGGGTTGAAGCGGGTCGATTTGAAAACGGGTTTAGCAAGTTTAAAGTGGGTTTCGGTTCAAAATAGTTCGGGTTCTAATCGGGTCGGGTTGTAATTGGTTCGGGTCATAATCAATTTGGGTTAAATCGGGTCGGTTTGAAAACGGGTTTCGGTTCAAAACAGATCGGGTGAAATCTAGGTTTCGGTCATTATTGGTTTAAGTCATAATTGGTTTAGATTGAACTCGGTCGGTTTGAAAACGGGTTACCCAATTTGAAGCGGGTTTCAGTCCAAATCATATTGGGTTAAAATCGAGTCAGATCATTATCGAGTCGAGTTAGTCAAATAATGGGTAGGGACAGGTCATGTTATAATCAAGTTAAGTCATAAATAAGTTGGGTTTATTGAGTGGTGGGTTGAAACGGATAAGATCATAAATATATTGGGTTACGGGTTGTAAACGACTTAGTCATAACTGGTTACCGGTCGTTAACGGTTCGATCTCAACGGGTTATGGGTCATAAACAGTTCGGTCTCAACAGGTTACGGGTTGGAAACGGTTCGGTCATAACAGGTTACGGGTTAAAAATGGTTCGGTCACAACGGGTTACAGGTTGGACCGGTTCAGGTTTATCGGATTTTTGTCGGGTTTAAACGGTTTTCGGTTTAAAATGGGTCGGGTTACTACCGAGTTTAGACGCAATTGGTTTGGGTTGTTTTTAGTTTCAGGTTGTAACGATTTGGCTTGATAACAGGTCGGGTTAGTAACGGTTCACATAAATTTGGTTCTGTTCAGTTTCGAGTTAGGAAAAATTGGGTCAGATTGGTTTTCGATTTCTAAAAGATGGGTTTTTAACGATTCAATTCCTTTTCGGATCAGTTTAAAATAGTCGAATTTAACGTTTCAAAATGAAACTGACAGCTCTAGTGAGAATCAATCCTTTTCTTAATTTAGCTAGTGTTAAGAAATTAAAAAACTGACTTCTTAAAGCACTAGAAGATTCGAATAATTAATAGTAATATCATAGGAGTAAAGATGAACACTTGTAGGTTGTAACCCTCGTGAAAAATGAAAAGCATTTCAACCTTATCGAAAAGATGGACAAAAGTTTGAATGACTTAAACAATGGATTCCCATAATGTGAACTAATTTCTCATTGCATGAGTCATCAATTCATCATTGTCCATAATAGTTTAAGTAAATACTTTCTACATCTTTTTTTATTGCAACATTTTATTTTTGCATTATCTCGGTATACATTATAATAAGAGTTTTTTCTATTTATCGTCAAATCATATGCCGAGTAATGTAAACCAAGATATCCTACAACAACAATTGCATTGGACATATATATTGCAAAATTGTTCATCTGTTTTTATTTAGTTGACACATTTTAATCGGTGTAAAATTTTATGCAACACTAATTAACTGAGTGATGATTTTTATTTTTTTTATTTTTTTTTATTTTTTTTCAATATGGCTTGCAAATAATGAATGGGTCCAGAGTGGGATTAAGTGTCAAGTAGTGTTTTCTTCACCATTCACCAAAATCTCAATTAACTTATTTTATCTTATTAATTTTAAACTTATCTTATCTAAATTATTAGTTCTTATATTATCTTATTTGAAATCGTCAACCCTTATTTTATTTTATCTTTAGCCACTTAAGCCTCGTTTGGTTGACATAATTGAATTCGGAAATTGTAATTCATGGAAATTATTTCCTCAATGAAAATCATAGGAATTTCCTTAAATTGTTTGGTTTTGAATCTTTTGACAATGAAAAATTGAAATTCCCATGAATTTCCACATAATGTTCATTATGTTTCAGGGTTTTTTGATGTCCTGCGGGAGAGTTACAATTCCGGGATTGGATCTGTGCGCTTGTACCTGTAAAACAACGGAGACTCCGGGTGGTGGGAGCTCCGCCTCCGACGGTCAAGTTAGTACTTGTATGTGGAGTAAATGGTGCGGAAAAGTAAAGAGGGTGATCTGGTTCCTCTAGGGAGAGGAGAGATCGGGGAGTGCAAATGCTAAGTCTGGTCTAGCAATTAGTATGCATGTGTGTTTACTCATCTCTAGGTGAGATGATTATCTCGTTTAAGGGAGGTTAATGACCTGTTTATATAGCCTCGAAGTACGTGCCCAATACTAGGTAATCTGGGAAAACCTTGGACTGATTGGGCTTGCCTCGGGAATTGGGCCTGTGATGGCCGTTTTCCAGGTTGGCGGATAATGGGCCACATGGCGTGGCCTGATTAGTCCATGTTGGACCTCTTAGGGTGACAAGTGGCGGACGCTGATTGGCCCACGTGGTGGACACGTGGCAGGTCCGGATTGGTCCATTTGTCATGGGTAATTTTACCCTAAACATTTGCCCCTCGGAAGGAGTAATTTCTCTTTCCAGGAGGGATTGCTCCTTTCGAAAGTTAGACCCTCGAAGCTTTGTTAGGTCGACATCTTGTCTAGTTCTAAATGGGAGATGGACTTGATTAACTTAGAAAATTTTGATACCTTGGGCGGTGTGACATTTTCAAAGTTAATCAATCATAATAATGATTGCCGCCGAACTAGACAGATGCCGATTCTTTGCCCCACTATGCAGATAGCTCCTGATCAGGTGGACTGTCAACTATTGCATAGGGGGTAAGCGTTTAGCATTATCCGGTCGTTGGCCTCTTTTGATTCAATATACTAAGTTTGGTACTTAGTCTATTTTGTTGGGAGATGGCTGGTCGTCTGCTTTGGTGGCTGCATAGAAGCAGGCGTCAGACGGGACGTCCAACCGAAGTAGCTACGCCTGTTGGGTTACACACGACAGCTTTAAGTATAGCCAACCTAGTGAGAATAGTGGTCGAGTACCTCTGTTTGTCAAAAAACAGGCGGACTCCTCATACCTTTAAGGTTCCGTACTAGGTTGGTTGAGTGACTTATGAGGTAACCTTGGGGTTCCCTAGTCTCCGTCACTTGGGTATGAGTAGTAGAAGAATCAGGCAGCTTAGGCCGGCTGACCCTCTTTATTCGCTTAGTTTTGCTTGGCTATTAACTCAAGCTGCGCCAAAATGTTTTGGCATGGTTTCACAATATTTGATGAATTTCACCAAGTTTGATGGGGACAGGCCGTCTGTTTCTTTGAACGGGACGCCTGGCCAGAGTAGCTATGCCTGGACGGTAGCTTCTGTCAGATCTAGTAGGAATAGTGGTCGAGAGCCCTTGTTTGCCAAAAAAAAACAGGCAGACCTCTCATACCTTTTAGGTTCCGTACTAAGGAGGGCGACTGGTTAACCTTGCGGTTAGTCAATCACTGCCTATTTTGTTTGAGTAGTAGGGAAACCAGGCGGTGGAGGCCGGATAGTCCCCTTAATTCGCCAAGTTTTGCTTGGCTATTAACTCAAAGGTTGTTAACCTAGCAAGAGTAGTGGTTGAGAGCCCCTGTTTGCTAAAAACAGGCGGGCGACTCATACCTTTTAGGCTCCATATTAAGTTTGAGAGAGTGACTATGAGTTAACATGGGAGTTACTCAGTCTCCGCCGCCCGGTACCTTTAAATGTTTCAGGGTTTTTTGATGTCCTGCGGGAGAGTTACAATTCCGGGACTGGATCTGTGCGCTTGTACCTGTAAAACAACGGAGACTACGGGTGGTGGGAGCTCCGCCTCCGACGGTCAAGTTAGTACTTGTATGTGGAGTAAATGGTGCGGAAAAGTAAAGAGGGTGATCTGGTTCCTCTAGGGAGAGGAGAGATCGGGGAGTGCAAATGCTAAGTCTGGTCTAGCAATTAGTATGCATGTGTGTTTACTCATCTCTAGGTGAGATGATTATCTCGTTTAAGGGAGGTTAATGACCTGTTTATATAGCCTCGAAGTACGTGCCCAATACTAGGTAATCTGGGAAAACCTTGGACTGATTGGGCTTGCCTCGGGAATTGGGCCTGTGATGGCCGTTTTCCAGGTTGGCGGATAATGGGCCACATGGCGTGGCCTGATTAGTCCATGTTGGACCTCTTAGGGTGACAAGTGGCGGACGCTGATTGGCCCACGTGGTGGACACGTGGCAGGTCCGGATTGGTCCATTTGTCATGGGTAATTTTACCC